AGTTTCATGTCTAAACCTGGGAGAAAGGTTCACCTGTCAGCAGGACAATGATCCAAAGAATAAGGCAAGAGCTGAAATGGAATGACTTAAAAGCAAAAGAGTGACTATCCTGGAGCAGCTCAGTCAAAGTCCTCACTTAAATCCTATTGAGAATCTGTGGAAAAATCTGAGGTTTGCTGTGCATAATTGGGCCTCAGGCAACTTGAGCAAATCTGCCAAGAAGAATGGGCAAAAATTGTACCAGGCCAGTAAGCAAAGTTAGTAGAGACTTAAAGACTCACAGCTGTAATTGCTACCAAAGGCACTTCTGCCAAATAAAAGAGTTTGTTGAGTTAATGTCACAAATGAAAAATGTTGAGTTCATACTCAGAATACTTATGCAATCAACATATTTCAGCTTTTTTCTCTTTCATCTGTCTGGACATTTACTATAAATTAACTAACCTAAGCATCTCAAACCCCACCCGATGTTTTCAACAGATCACCTGTTCTATGTTTTTATTCAGATTTTATTTTAGATTTAGGTTCAATTTTGGAATGTCAGAAAAATGGAACAACATTGGAAGAGTCTTAATACTTTTGCTGGTCCCTGTGTCTTATGAGGCTGCCTGGAGGCTGAGACACCCTTATGTCACACTTGGTTAATCTGCAGAAATTGTTCCTATGAAAAACATCACGGCTGAGTTAAATTCTGCTCTAGCAAACACTGTGTCAGCATGGTCAGATGCTTCTCCACATCTAAACACCAAGTTAATCAGTCTTGATGTTTCTTAGTCTGTGACAAGCTTCCATTTTCTGTAAGTGGTTTGCTTGTTGGCTTTTCAGTCTTAAAGTTTATGCAAGAATTGAGCTACAAATGAATAATTATTCATGTGCTTTAGAGCTACTGCAGAGCCTTGCTCCTATTCAGGAAGCACAGGAGCGTGGAACTGCTAGAGAAAAAGACAAAATAGAGGTTCTGTGGGATCTAGGGGTGTTCTACTTTTCTTTTGGCCTAAGTTCTTAAATGCCTCCTAAAAAACATTTTCCAAATTCCACCATGTTAACTTTTTGCTTTTTAATTTTTTTTTTACAAAATGTGAAGCACTTCTATAAACTGCTGGAATATTTAGGAGACTCATCCAGCTTTTTCAAAAATGCCACAGAGTGAGAATGTAAGGTTGTACCAAACTGAACAACCTTTATCAATACAGGACACATACTGTAAACCACAGTTTCACATTTTCAGGAGGAATTCTGCCAGCGTAGAGGTTTCAAAGCCTATTCCCAGTGTGACATTAATTAATAATAAAGTTATTAATCTCTCGCCAACAATACCAAGCTTGTGCGGTGTCACCCTTTGGGATGGGCAAATTACTTGTTTGAATTCCAAACACGTAAAAGAAACACAGGGAACACACCAGAGCTTTTGACAGATTATGTTAATCTTTTCTTCAAACGCATTCCCTGTTTTCAGCTACTGTTCTTACAGTGTTATAAAACTGATTTAATTCCTGCATTAGCTACTAATCTTTTATAAAGCTTTAGATTTCAACCTCACAAACCGTTAAGACTAGTCACTCATCTAAGACTTTATTTGGTGGGCATTGAAATTACGGTTGAAAAAAGGAAAAGAAGGATTAAATGATCTACTGAAGTTTACCAACAAAAGAACATCAAAAAAACTTATATAGTTACAAGAATCTGTGCAGGTTTATGTTGAGTTACAGTGACAAAATTGTTGATTGCAATATACTTTATTGCATAAACCTGCAATTTAGCCATTAACTGACTGTGAGTAGTTTATGAGACAATTTATTTGAATGGCATGTGATTTATTTAGTTGAAGCCACAAGACTGTTACTCACTTAAGATATGTCAATAGTATATTTAAGGCTTCTCAGTTCTACAAATGTGGAAAGACAGGCTTTTGTGACAATTCAATATAAACAGGAAACACTACGGATCACTTAAGATCAAATGATAGATTTTATTGCACTTACTGTATAAAGTCCCTTCAAGGTGAAGATGAAAGTTATTTCATGTATAACCACTTTACACTTTACTGCCACATCCTCCTTAGATAAATAAGAAGCATCGCAAGGGAATAATCCCAGACAAGGAAATCATAGAATAAACACAATTTTGTATTGCATGGATAAATCCTGCCTTGATACATAACAACCTTTTCAGATGAGAATAAGTGATGTATTGAACAATGCTTTCATTTTGAAGGCAAGTTACTGTATATCTAAAGCAATAATAAGATCCAGTAATAAAATAAATTCACAGCAAACAAAAAAGCGATACTTAAAGTAGGTACAAATCTGGAAACATTCTAAAAGATATTAATGTACATTTTCATGACATCGAAAATTAACTATTAGTTGTGCCATTTTGTTACAATTCACCATGTGCCAATGCTTTTAAACTTTCTTTAAACTGGATTTATGGGATTTGATACATTGTTTTATGAACATTTCTAAACAACATATTTAAGAAAGTATAAAAGACTGTTTAATTCTGGGATTTTGGAAAACTCTTCCATGTTCTTAAACTTTAACAAACTTTAAATGATATGCCTGTGAGGACAGGACCACACATACTGTAAGGGCAAAAGATATTACTTTGTTTCAGGCATACTTTAAGTTCTTATGTTGTTTTTAATGGCTAATAAAACTGTACAAAAAACCTCTTTAGAGCTGACCAAAGGAAAAAAAAACATGCTCCTCGTGAGTTGTGTTGTTTATAAATTCACCAACTGCAGTGTAGTCATTATAAACATTGGATAATTGAGGACAGTAGTTTCAGGGAAGTAATAATGAGCATGAAACACCTATTAAAATAATCACACATTAGAAAGAAAATGTAAGTAATTGATCAATCTGAAAACTCAAATTGTTGAAGGCTTTAATCATGAAGACCTTTCTAATGCAATGTCAAGATATCTTTTTGCATCCGTACTGTATGAAGCCCCAAACCATTGGTCAGTCATATACCCTGTCAATATCAATTTTCAAAGGGAATGCATTTGAGTCTTTGTGTAGTTCCTGCTGTCTTCATGCTTTATAAAACAACAGTCTGAGGCAAGGGAATAGACATCCTACAATAAGATCTGAAGCTTTTCGAAACTCCAGAGCAATGGATACAATGGAGTGTTTGCAAGAAATAGCATCCATCCATTTTCTAACCACTTTTTTCCAATTCAGTGTCACTGGCGAGCCAGAGTCTTTCCTGGCAAGCAACAGGTGCAAGACAAGATGCACCAATTGCAGGACAGATGCACAGACACAGTCACACCTAGAGGCAACTTTTCCAGCTGCCATTTAACCTACCAGTATGGTTTAGGACTGCGGGAGGAAACTGCAGGACCCAGAGGAAACTCACAAGATCACGGGGAGAACATACAAACTCCTCACGGATAGCACCCCAGGTCCAGAATTGAACCTATGGCCTCAGCACTGTGAGACAACCACTGTACCAACATCTCCCCCTCAAGCAATTGCCAAAGACGTAACTCTTTTAATAAAAACAGATCTTTAATAACTAATATTAAATCTAATCTTAAATAACCATAAGACAAAATCTAATCATCCAGTGCAAGAACAATTTTGAATGAACGAAATGCCACACCTTAGCAAAATCTTCATCTTTAACATACTCCAAAGAATTTCTTCTAAATACTGGTACAAACTGGCTTAAATGACATGCAGTAGATAACAGGCGAAAGGCCTCTTCAGGTAAGAAACAAAATTTAAAGCTTATTTGGAAATGATTCAACTTCATAAGCGTGTTGAACAACTGGTGAATTTCACGAAAAGTAACCTGATTAATCAAACAATTTTGCTTTATGCTGACAAATCTAAAGGTGTTATGGGAACAATTCATATTTGAACTTACATTTAAATTTGTGAACTTATAATTATCACTTTTAAGACAAAATGAGGCAACACCTTACTTACCTCAAAAGCTAAACTGATTTCTATATGTTTTGCTATGACATATAAAATGAAATCCAGATTGTGATTTAAC